GAGCAGGGAGCCCGATGTGGGACTCGATCCCAGGACCCTGAGATCATGACCCGAGCCGAAGGCAGACGCTTAACCATCTGAGCCACCCAGGCACCCTATGTAGTTAGCATCTTACATGAACATTATCCAGCCATTTAAAATCAAGAATATTGAACATGCTTTAATCCTTTATTGGTCATTTGGGTTCATCCTTCTGAACAACAATAGGGATGGTAGGATATGCAAAGGCTCTTTGCTTCTATTCTTTAAGGCCTCTGGCTTTGCCTTTTGAGGTCTTACCTTTTGTACCTTCTTCACTCTCTGTCAGAAACTAGTTGTTCCTTGCTTCCTCTCAGAGGCATTTTCTTTGCTTCTGGTTTTGACCAATATGCACATATATCCAAAGCTTTAAGAAACTGAGTATCAAGTGAACTGTGTATCCTATGAGAAAGTCCTCCAGGCTTTCCTGTGGGAAGGTGAAGTCGTTTTTAGTGCCTAGCTTTTGTGAGGTTGTTGTTTTCAGCTTTCTTCCTTATTGTGAGGAGTTTTCCAGATAGTTGGGGTTGCCAGATAAGTGACCATTGATTAAATGAGGTAGCACTGTGTATATATTTTTTTAATTTTCTGTATAAAATTTTTAGTTACTTGTTTACTAGAGTAGACTCTCTTAACATTATTATGCATAAAATGAAAAAAATCTCTGGTAAGTACCGAATAAGGAAAAACACTCAAGGCATAAAAACTCCACAAACTACATGAAGTTTTTTTGTGGTTTTTCCTGTTAGATTATATATGACAGCAAAAATTAAATATTTGTTAAAACATTTATAATTTTATAGAAATCCCATTGTTTAATAAAACAACTCCTGATAAGGTTTATATTGGATTGGAATAGTTATAAGCTTTTTTTCTACCAAGTCTGTCACATAACTCTTTGTCCAAGTAATTTTAGACATTCAAGAAATTGTAATGATGTCTGATGATAGAGAAGATGTTTGTACTTCCTAGCTTGCTGTACTATAATTTGAATGCATAATTAAGAGCAATAATTTTGGTGCAATATTCTCCCTTTCTAGAGACAAATGGAATCAAATTGGAATTTTGTAGAAGAACTGCTTAAAAAGTCCATCAGTGTTCAGGTATGCTTTTAAAGTGACACAATTTGTGGGCTTTGCTAAATTTTTAACGTTCCAGATTTTATAAGAACCAAGCAAACTCTTAAAATGATTTAAATAACAAACTTCGTTTACTTATTAAAAACCTGAGGTAAAATCCTCATTCTTTGTTAATGAAGGGTCAGCATGAGATCATTGCTATGAGTGACTATCCTTTGAAGATTTTTATTTGAAACACTGAGTTGCCAGTTGAAGGACAAATAAAATTATCCGAGTTGGTGACTTTGACAAAATGTATTCAGAATAAGTAGTAGATGTTTCAAAACTATAAGCCATTCCTTGACTGTATGGTATCAAGTCTAGGAGACATGATGAGGGAGATAGTAGCATTGGAAATTCAGCTATATCCTCATCACAGCAGGAAGGTGACTTGCCTTGCTGAGCAATTTGTCTTACAGGCTCGAATCATACTCTAACTGATAAGGTCCTAGTTTCTGAGCCCTCATTTCATACGTTATCATTTTTCTTTCTGCAGAGCTGTTAATGTAGTGCTTCATGGCCCAGAGGTCAGATCTGACCTCCTTTTAAAATAGTTTTAAATGTGCTCTTCATCACATCTTTAAACCTACTGTATTGTAGTCCTGTAAAGTTTTGTAATAAAAGTTATTTATGTAAGAATTTAAGGGGAAATTTTAGTAAAGAATATTATTAAATTTGGGAGGTAGATTACTTTTCTGTTAGGAAATAAAGATTGTTAAAAACTTGTAGAGGAATAAACAAGAAATATGATAGTACAAGATTGATACATATATATCACATGTACATACGTACCCATTTGTACATACAAACACACACATACTCATTTATTTTGTAGCGATATCTTTAAAACTCATTTAAATAGACTGAAATTGTCTTTTCCCTGTTATCTATATTAACTTAATTTCCTTAGGTGAAGCATATAATAAGTAAGTACATTTAGTTTATAATATGAATCTTCTAATTCAGTAAAGATTCTAGGATAGAATTCCAAAGATTTGTGCACATATAAGTTGTATGAAAAACAAAAGATTATTTCAACCATTGTAAAATTTTTTATTTTTGTTTTTTTCTATGTCATTTTAATTGGCTTTCTCCTTCATCATTCTTTTTGAGAACATATTGATTTAGTAATTCAGAAAGTCTCTTACATATATTTTTTTTCTTTAAGAATGTAGGGAATCACTAAAAAGTGTTTATTGTTCTTTGAATTAGCTATTAATCCAATCTCAATGCCTTAACATAACATAGCTTAAAAACCTCTTAGTTATACTTCCTTTAGGCTTTAACAGTGTATGAATTTATGGTTTTGTTCAGGTAGGTTTTAAATTACAGAATATTTCTTAGGAGGCTCTAAAGGTTCATATGGGTAAGTACCCATATACTTATAATGGTCTGGGACAAACAGGAGAAAGAATTCATCATCATATCTCTTCCATAGAAAAGTTTGCTCTTTGACCAAGAGATTGAAAACCCTCCTTCAACCCTTTTAGTTGCTTGAAAATTAATTCTTTTTTTCTTTGGATTTATGACTCACTCTAATTTTGATGTTAAATGAAGTTAACTCATTTACTTGAGAAAAAAAAACTTTGGAATGTCTTACTCATAATGTGATAAAAGTTATTCTGATACTGCATAATATATGTTTACAATATAACTAGTATTTTAATGGTGTTAGCTAAACCTGTTTTGAGAATAAATAAGTAATTCTTGGAAGTAGGTAGTATGACCATCAGAATTTTCCTGGCTTGTGGTTTCCCAAGAATGTGGGACTTTCAGTGCTACAACCAGAAAAGTCCTGAGCAAACTGAGAAGCCAGTCATCTTAGAAGTAGAGAGAGTATAGCTAATACAAGAAACTTTCTCTGGGAATTTAGACGTAGTGTAAAGTCAAAATCATTTTTCCTGTGAGAGAAGTCATTATAATATTTAGAAAGAAGTAGTCCATTTTCTCTAGTGATCTTTCAATTTTGTCATGCCTTGATTGTATCAAATTAGATTTTATAAGTAGTATAGTACTACTTGCTGGAGTTCTTGAAATCAATTTTGTGGGTGCAGTAGGTGGTCATAAAGAATAAGTAATATGTTTGAATAGAGCCATCAGTTTGATTATATCTGTTTTCCCCCATTGAGGTAAATTAAAATCTGACCATGCTCATGTGCTTTGACTTTATCTCCAACAGTGAAAGAATCCATTTGCAGTATTTAAAAAACATACATTCCACATATAGAGCAGTCGTCAAATTTAATTGGTAGGCATGCCACTGTAATTTTAATTAAGCAAATAATGTTCCAAATCTTTTTCTAGCCAGAAAGAATTTTCTAGAAACAGACATTGTACTTTGTTAGTAAAAAGAACATATATTGTTTAATTTTGCTTCTCTAGGTATGATTGAATAGTTCTTACCTTAAAAACAGTTTTTTAGAGGCAGTACTATTTAATATTTGTGTATGCTGACAGTATTGTTCTACCTTTAAAACAGCATTATTGTTTTCATATGAAAAGGGAGATATTTCCTTTTATACTACCTGCTTTTTAAAGCCTCATTTTCTGACATCACAAAAACAATTTCCTACTAAAGGCTATGGGTGGGTATAAAAAGAAATCCTAAACGAGTGTAATATTCTTTAAAAATTATTTTCATTTGCCAAGGAGTCTGAGGAGTCCAAGGCTAAAAACAACTTAGAATGTGATTAGATTTGAATGATGTGGCACTGTAACCTTTTTTTTTTTTTAAGACTTTATTTATTTGGGGGGAAGAGAGAGAGCAGGGGGAGGGGCAGAGGAGAGGGAGAGAATCTCAAGCAGACTCCCTGCTGAGCATGGAATCCAGTGCAGGACCATCTCACAACCCTGAGATCATGACCTGAGTTGAAACCAAGTCAGATGTTCAACTGACTGAGCCACCCAGGCACACCTGGGACAGTAATCTTCTAATTATTAATTCAGAATCATTGTGTTTCTTGGACAGACGGATCTTGACTGGGATATTGAAGTTCAATTTACTTTTTTTTTTTTTAAGATTTTATTTATTTGACGGAGAGAGACACAGCAAGAGAGGGAACACAAGCAGGGGGAGTGGGAGAGGGAGAAGCAGGCTTCCCACCGAGCAGGGAGCCTGATGCGGGGCTTGATCCCAGGACCCTGGGATCGTGACCTGAGCCGAAGGCAGACGCTTAACGACTGAGCACCCAGGTGCCCCGAAGTTCAATTTACTTTATCCAGTCCTAAAACTAAGTCCAATCAGACAGACTGACAGTCATTATTTAGCTTGCAAATAAATTTTATTCTTCTGATGATTTCTTCTAGGTAGGTTTGTTATGCATAAAGAAATAAACCCCCAATTATTAAATTGCTATTTTTATAAAATAAGCTAAAAGTACTTTTTTTTGATCCCAGTATAGTTAAAATAGCGTTATATTCGTTTTAGGTATACAATATAGTGATTCAACAATTCCATATATTACTCAGTAGTCATCACAATAAGTGTACTCTTGATCCCCTACACCTATTCCACCATTCCCCCGCCCACCTCCCCTCTGGTAGCCATGTTTGTTCTCTATAAATAAAAGTCCGTTTTTTTGGTTTTGTCTTTTTCCCCCTTGTTTGTTTTGTTTCTTAAATTTCATATATAAGTGAAATGATATGGTATTTGCCTCTCTCTGACAGGCTTATTTTACTTAGCATTATACTCTCCAGCTCCATCCATGTTTTTGCAAATGGCAAGATTTCATTCTTTTTTTTTTTATGGCTGAGTAATATTCCATTGTGTGTGTGTGTGTGTATATATATATACACATATATACACACACAAACATATATACACCATTCTTTATCCATTCATCTATCGATGGACACTTGGGCTGCTTCCATAATTTAGCTATTGTAAGTAATGCTGCTATAAACATAGGGCTGCATATATCCTTTCAAATTAGTATTTTTGTATTCTTTGGGTAAATACCTAGTAGTATGAGTACTAGATCAAATGGTAATTCTTTTTTTAACTTTTTGAGGAAGCTCCATACTGTTTTGCAGAGTGGCTGCACCAGTTTACATTCCCATCAACAGTGGAAAGAGGGTTTCTTTTTCTCCACATTCTCGTCAGCGCTTGTTTCTTTAGTGTTTTTGATTTTAGCCCTTCTGACAGGTGTGAGGGGATATCTCAATATGGTTTTGATTTGCATTGCCCGGATGATTAGTGATGTTGAGCATCCTTTCATGTGTATGTTAGCCATAAAAGAGTAAATGTTTCCATTTTTAGTTCAATAAAAGAATTTCATGCATGGAATATACTTGAATTTAATATGCCTAAATTTGATCTTTCAAAATAAAGATAGGAAGGCATTCTTTAACAAGTGGGGCACCTGGGTGGCTCAGTCGGTTATGCGTCTGCCTTCGGCTCAGGTCATGATCAGAGGGTCCTAGGATGGAGCTCCACGTTGAGCTCCCCACTTAACAGGGAGTCTGCTTCTCCCTCTGTCCCTCCCCCTACTTGTGCTCTCTCTTTCTCCTCTCTCTCAAATAAATAAAATCTTTAAAAAAATTTAAAATTAAAAAGGACTAAAGCAGAGATCAGGAGCAGGCACTATGGAATATTCTGGGGTAGCTTTCTCATTAAATAGTCTATGCACACTCACACAGCTGAGATGAGACACAGAGAGCCCACAGGGTCTTGTGAAAAATGCAAAAGCTGAGGAGCATAGCCTCTGGGATTGAGGCAGGCAGGTTTAAGGCTGTGTAGAAAAGAGGGGCCCATAGACCTTCTGGTTTATTAAAAAATCTTTAATCAGAGGGCACGGATTTAGATGTAGTCATTCAAACCTCTTGGTTTAGGTAGAGTTTGACCTTAACACTCACAAAATTGAAATATATCAGCTTAGGGTACGATACTGAGAACCTGTTACATTCATTATATGATCATCAAAAGAGTCAACATTGGGCCTAAAAAAATACATCTCTCTTGTGGACAACAAAGTGATAGCTATCCC